TCATCACTCAAGGTTCTACTGTACTGTATATAAAAAAAATTTAAAAATTTGAATATGTTCACTTTTGGACTTCCCCAGTAAAAACTCTACTTATCGTGAGGTTATCTTGAGATGATTTCGGGGCTTAGCATCCCCGGGGCCCGGTCCTTGACCAGGCCTCCTTTTTGTTACACATCCCCGAGGAAGCAGCCCGTAGCAGTAGTCTAACTTCCAGGTACCTATTTACTGCTAGGTGCATCAGGATGAAAGAAACATTGCCCATTTATTTCCGCCTCCGCCGGAGATCGAACCCGGAAGCTTAGGACTACGAACCCCGAGCGCTGTCCATTCAGCTGTCAGGGCCTTATCTATCCGCATGTCTGGCTTATCCGGCAGGGGGTCCTTCCCATATAATTCGGGTAAGTGAGCTCATACAGTACTGAGGCTCACTGTGCATCAGATATTCACAAACGTATGTGAGTAATTACCCAAGTGTAGTTACAGGATGAGAGCTACGCTTGGAAACTACTGACAGTTATGCCCTCCACACTCTTCACATTTAACATTGTGTACATTTAACAAAGTTATCTTTCTGAAATTTCAAATTTGGGTCCAATCTGCTTAGCTTAGGATGTCTAAATAGCTTAAAAGTGCAGAACATTTTAAAAAAACCAGCAAAGTAGTACTGAACAGTATAAAAACCAGCATAAAAGTAGAGAACAGTATACAAAAACCACACATCTTAAGTCTTCATATGACTAATACACACTAAAGTATTGTATTACATTACATAAATTAAGTTAAATAATTTGTAATTTATGTAGTAAGCAAACTAAGCAATGCATATTTTTAATAAACTTTAATTTATTTATTAAATTAATTTCTGAATCAAACTAGAAATGCAGCAAACCTGCAAAATTGCTAAACTCTACTGTACTAACCTAACTGGTCAGTTAGGAACAGATCAACACGGTGATTATCTGATGGAAACCTCCATCTGAAAAGTGGACGAACTTAAAGGATTTCAATCTAATTCATATGACTGTAACATTCCACATCCACACAATGCAAGGAATGCATTAGGAAGTGATGTGGTGAAGGCAGACGCCATACACAGTTTAGAATGTAGATATGATAGAGCCCAGTAGGCTCAGGAATCTGTACACCAGTTGACTGACAGATGAGAGGCGGAACCAAAGAGCCAAAGGTCAAGCCCCCTGCAAGCACAACTAGGCGAGTACACAATCTTAACTCCTGCAAGACCAAATTCACAGGTGCAAATAAATGCAAAAAATATTGTTTTGTATATTAAAAGTGCTCTTTCCATGCAAATTTTGTAAGAAAATACAGAATGTGCAAATGCATGCTCTATTATTTTCCAGCCCATCCTCCTGCTTTGGTAGTACAGTACATACTGTATAGTAAAAATGAGGACCATAGTATATATACTAACACAAATAAAATTAGAAAATAGAAATCTGAACTGTAGAGTTGGACAAACCGGAAAACTATTTTTTACTTGTGTTGCTTTGACAAACTAAACCTAACCTAACCTTCCTAGGCCTAATACATGATATATGAGGCCTAACATAGTATATAAGTGTGCTGTACTAGGGTTAGGAATGTTTAAGTTAGTTTGTTAGCCTCATTTATTTTAAAAGAATTCCTTACTAGTCAGTATACCACTATCTAAAAGTCAAGTATGTACGAATTCTTAACCATTGACGATTGTCACAATAGGTACTGCACTAACTGGAGGATGAGTTGTATTTTCACTATTTAAAAAAGAATGCAGGGTTGATTGTAATGAAACCCTTTTCTGGTGGACCCCAGAAGCTCCTCAAAAATAACTATAATACCACCAAGTCTTAGCCCAACACGCCAGACCTCTCAGACGCATCCACCGGCTAGAACCACATCCACTCGCACTCACTCTACGAGGTGAGGCCAGCATGGGATCAGACATCAGCCACAAAACTAGGTCAAATGCACCACAGCACATAAGATGCAACAAAACAAGCGACTGTGTGTAATAAAGTTGACACTCCACAGTAAACAAAAGTATCGTATGACAAAGTGTACCAGGAAGATGGGACGCCACAAACAGATCTCATCCTGTAACTACACCTAGGTAATTACACTTAGGTACTTTGTACCTCTGACTTGCTCATGCACTGCTTGAGCCTGCTTAGACTTTCCATATTCTTTCAGCTTTTTTTCTTCTCGGTTTACGATGTCTGTCCCCTTCACTCTGTGACTGTTTTCTAAGTCCTTGTTTTGGGTTTCTTCTGGTTCTTGGGTTCTGAAGCTTCATGCTCTCCTCCGGAAGCAACGTTTTAGTTCTTTTGACCCTGCTAAGCATTTTATTCGTTTGCAGCCAGCTTCTTCTTTTCTGATAAAAAGAGTTGGATGGGTTCTGGAAAGGTCCTTTGGTTATTGATGCTTGGTTGGTTTGGCTGAGTGCAGCATGTGCTGTTTCTGGTGGTGGCTCTTTGCTGCAACTTTCGTGCCATCGATTCTGTCTTGTTGATAAACACCATAACTGGGTGTTGAAAGAAGCCAATCACTGAGGTAGGCTAGAACAAGGGTTCCTTGTACATGCAGTCATCAGAGGACCACTCAAATTAGTCAGGGCAAGATCTAGGAGCCAGGGGAAGAGGACCACTCAAATTAGTCAGGGCAAGATCTAGGAGCCAGGGGAAGGCTAAACTGCAAACCAGAACTGATAAAAGAAGAAAACAAGAAAATGGAAACCAGCGCACGGAAGACTTATCCAAGCCATAAACACAGACACAAGACACAAGTGGTGTTCAGCATGTACCGAAACAGGGAGAAAAGAGAACACATTCATACCAGCGACAAACCACGGCCACGAACTGTAAATCTGAGGGGTCACAGGGCAACCCATAGACCCTCCTCTGGCAATGCTAATGCTCACACTTTTCCCCACCACAAAGGAAGAAGGACCAGGGAGGGAGTTCACATCCCCTTCGGAGCCCCGAGCCTCAACAGAGTTAACAGACACTCTATATCCCAATACACAGATATACTGAACCCTCTTCACTCTTCACCATTTAATCCGTCAACCAGGTAAACCCTGGATTCCTGGGAAGCCGAAGCCCATGTTCTATGCAGAAAGTAGGGCGGTAGACTGATGAATAAGCACCTCACACCAATAACAGAATAAGACATGGGGGAGGAAAAAAAAAAGAGCTAACTGGACCAAGGAAGCAGAGTAAGATGACTAAAAACAAAGCACAACCTCAAAACCCAGATGCCTATAAACTTCTACAGAAACACAGGGGACTCAGTATCTGTGCTACCTGCTAGAGATGGGCCATAAAAGCCTACACAAAGTCCAGTTCTGCAAGTTGGCCAGCCAAAACTGAAGCTCAGCACTGAAAAACGACACACAACTGTGAGTGACAAGACGCCAGAACCCTGCAGACCACATGACCGAGGCCACGAGAATAGCTAATGAAATGCTGTGGGACAGGCACATCCGCCCAGCCAAACACACACACTAGATAATAAACTACACCTAGGCTGTCACACAGATAAGCAGCCGGCTGGGTACAGGTAAAACATTTGGAAAAGTAAACACTGAACAATAATAACCTTGAACAGTGCTCTGGAATGCATAAGTAGACACAGCTCCGGAAGCTTACACTCACAACACGAGCATGCCCTCAGCTACGTTCAAGGCAACTACCGCCCACAGGAACAGGGCAAGCACAACAAGTCTTCAGTGTGCACTAGCATAGGTTTTATATATATATTGTAGTTGCTTCCAACTTGATAAAACTCCTCCCCATCAATAGGCCTTGCAGGGACAATAAATCTCATGCATTGCTCAGCAGTGAGATGAATTGAAAGGAGGCAGCCTACAAGCCCTCAGAGAAAGTACAGAATCTCTGATGGGGGTATAAAAAAATGCAGGCTGACTCTCAGGATTTAAGTGAAATAGAATGCTAGGGCACAGGAATGTGGGTAGAATAAGCACAGTAGCAGGATGACAGTTTTTCCTCCATATCAACCTACCCAGGATTTGCGCCCTGGAGAGGCCACTCCAGACCAACAGAGCGCAACTCCATAGTCTCCTATGACTGATGGAGGCCTACTACTAAAACAAAGCAATGGTCCCCAGTAAAATGTAATATTTTAGGGAAGGCTAATGCTCTGTCACTAACCTGAAAATGAGAACTTGATGACAGGACCACAAGAGGTTACATATGTTGGACGTAATGCACCAGGTAGTCGAGTGAGGGGGGAAGCAGACTCGCTATAAGCTCAGGTGATCTGACTGCCATCTGGTGGCACTCAGGCACATCAAAGTCAGGGAATTTACACCACAGCAGTGATAGTTTGCCTCATTTACCTTGGGGCACTTCACTTCACTTCACGCAGGCAGTTGCGGTCATGTTTCGTTGCACCAATGCTTTGTGGATGGTTTTCCCTAGTTTTATGGTTGATCTCTGATCCCCTGTCTAGAAGAGCCAGATAGATTCTGGTCTCGAGATAAGCAGCAGATGATTCTCAGAAGCCAGGTATGTTGAACTAAGGCCTGGTGGTACCCAAATTGTGGGAAGCTACCAAGGAGTGGGGTCCATCACAGAAAATACCAAAGATTGGATACAACAAAAAATCGAACAAATTGAAAGAGGGTCCAGATCCCACTAATTTTGGTCAAATAAGACTCCACAGAATAATTAAACAAAAATATGGCCAAGATCTCTAGGCTTCAAAGAGTGCTTCAATAAATAATAAATAATAGTTAAGGAGATTAATCACACTGCTTTATGATGAAACTACATGTTGTACACGTACTAATAACTTTATTAAATTTTAAACAATTCCTTTAATTTTAAAATGCATGCGCTTATTCTTTGCAATGTGATAAACCCTTTAACTTAATATTTTTAGCCATAATGTGCTCCCTTATTTTGTAGGAAATTTAAACAAATATGTTAACCAAACCAACCACCCATGGAATCAGAAAACACAAATGAAGTGTCGCTGACCCATTTTTTACGTAATCTAGGCGTGGGTCAAAATCTTGTCTCCAGGCTCGCCTCCCAGCTGACGTGCAGTGCGACCAGATGTGGGGCGATGCAGTCATACAGCTCACAACTCTAAAGTTCACATCGAATCAGCATTCTCATAGAATAAATGCAGAGAATTTATATGCAGTAGAAATCCAAAAATTTATCTATTACAAAGAGAAGTGCCAAAAATTAATCTAACAGTAGACTTCAGAGCAAAAATGTCATCCATCCTCTACACCATTCTACTGGCTACTAATTGAAACATGGCCTTATTTTCTCACGGAGATGACACCATTCTCAAGCAGAGCAGTGTGTTGGTCAACTGAGACCGTGGAATCTGGAGACATCCACTGTCATAATTTTTCCAGCTTGTCTTCTATTCTCAAACAAAGTCATTATTAAAAAATAAAGACGAATTTAAATTATGCACTTCACACTCTTTATGACTTTTCTACAAATTTAAAGGCTATGCAAGTGAAGCTTGTGATTTTGTACGGACCATGCGATTATTTCAAAACTTTTAATGTAAGTTATTTTATCACCCCAATATCAACAACTCTTGTATCATTATAACAGCTTGTCTTTACGTTTTTAATGATCCTTATGAACAAGAATGATAACTGTTTAAGAAAGAATAATCATAATTGAAATCTACATTAGAAATGGAAATTATGAATCCACCTGGGAGTAGTTTGATTACTTTTTCGGAAGAGCCAAACAGTGCCAAATTGATGTTCAAAACCCTCCCTAATGGCTTTATTAACTTCATCGTTACGTTCAACAATGACTTGCAGTGAACCATTTTTGTACTTAATGATCATTGATACAAAGAGAAGTAGGTTATAAGTGCATTCCCAATGCACTTCTTTTTTAAAGCTACCATGTATTACGTGCCTGGGTATAGTATACAATAGAGTGCAACCTTTACGCAGTTAATCTCCACTTCCAACGCACATTTTCCAGACCAGATTAGCTTAGGATTCAGGGCCAGAGTTCACAGGGCTGTGGCAAAGTTGATGGGCCTGGTTTACTTACGCCATATTCTGGTCATGGCCCTACCTTTTAAAAATAAGATTTAAGAGCTCGACCCTTTGCAGACAGATTCTCCTGGTAGTTGTCCATAAGACAGGTATCTGTCTTATGAATGAATATTTCGCTCAAATTATATTTCGTTCAGTGAAATTACCCTACAAAGCACGGGGAAAAAATTAGGATACCAATGATAACTTCTTTAATATGGCCCCAATCCCATATTTTTTTTTTTAATTTTCATAGATGAATACATTAGGAAAAATAGGAATGTACGGTAATGTATTTTCTTGTTATAAAAAATTGCATCATATGAATGTCTCAACGGCATCTTCAATTGCAACAAATTACAGGATCCAATGATTCAAGATTGGTCTCATATAGGTCGCCAAAATGAGGTTGCACTGTACTGCACTTCCAATCAAGTAATTTGTTAAAAACTGATTAGGCTACACGATTCATTGAAAAAAAAAAGTAGGTCCATGGATGTGGCAACCCCTGACATGGGGTCAGGCTGTCAGGAGTGGACAACGCTTCGGATTCGTAGTCCTGAGGTTCTGGGTTCGATCCCCGGTGGACGCAGAAACAAATGGGCAGAGTTTCTTTCACCCTGATGATCCTGTTCACCTAGCAGTAAATAGGAACCTGGTAGTTAGACAGCTGCTACGGGCTGCTTCCTGGGGGTGTGTAACAAAAAGGGGGGCCAGGTTGAGAACCAGGCCGCACACACACTAAGCCCCAAAATCATCTCAAGATAACCTCAAGATAACCCAAATAGGCCTGCACTATGTGATAAGAGGGGTATAGAGATGGAAGTGGAAGACCTCTCACTCAGCACGAAATTAAAAACCTTCTGTCCCAGCAATGGGAAAATGGGTTGTGATGATAAGAATATCTGTCTCAACTTCCAAGAACACTAATTTGTTACTACAGTATATAAAATATTAAAAATCAAAGATATTTTGATAATTTCATTGTGATGTGTATCATGCACCATTTGTATACTAATAATATTCTCAGTAACATTAATTAAAAATACATTAACACTGTATACTATACTCCTAAAATGTGCAATAATATGTAAACTAATGTACAATATCAAACTAAAAGCTGGAATACCGTGATGCTGAAACAGATTTAAAATGTATATGGATTTGTGTACATGTATGTACTCCCCTAGCTGTGCTTGTGGGGGTTGAGCTTCGGCTCTTTGGTCCCACCTTTCAACCGTCACTCTACTGCTGTACAGATTCCCGAGCTTCTCGAGCTTAGGAATCTATATATCTACATTTGAAACTGTGTATGGAGTCAGCCTCCATCACATTACTTCCTAGTGCATATACTTATATATACTGTATATATGTACATGTGTATGTAATGTTAACAATTGTTTAACTAGTTTCACGCGAGTGTCACTTGCTTAGCTAAACGAACTACAGTATGGGGTTCAGGTCCTGAACCCATTGTGTGCCTCAATAACCCATTCCACCACTGCTCACAGGATGGGTATGGGGTGCATAACAAATTAAATGAATGAAAAATTAACACGTACCCAAGGAATAAAAGCACAGCAACCTTAAATTTTAATATAAACAAAATAATCTAGATAAATATAATTTTCAACACTAAGAACATTTGATTATAAAGGCAATGATAATACCAAAATTTAAAGCCCTGACATAATCTAAACTCAACTAAATACGTCTACCTACCTACCAGTTCACATGAACATGACATGGCAAAAGCAATAGTGCCTAATCAGGCCCAGAATAAACAAAGAAGAATATATTAATTGACCATATAAAAGCCATCACCGCAAAGACTTCGTGACTATAAAGAGGTTAAGAGTGTTAGGGAAGCCGAGCATGTGATAGCCTGGTCTGCTTCGCAAGCTAGCTGTAAGCATGTTAAAATCAGAGCCTAACACACTAATGAAGGATTAATACCATAAATATACAGTGACACCTTGGCTTACGAATGCCCCTCTTTACAAACTTTTCAGGTTATGAGCCCAATTTCTTCGTAAAATCTGAATCGGGTTACGAACTTTGCCTCGGGTAACAATTTGTTGATACAGTACATGTATGGCCGACCTAGTGCATTGTGGCATGGCGACCACACCTCAGTTTACCAGTGCCTCCTGCTTGGTGACAATCGCACTTGAATTCTTTGTAAAGAATTTCAGTATTTTTAGGATTTTTGGGTATTTGAACATAAAAGTTGTTATTATATATCTCGCCATGGGTCCCAAGAAAGCCAGTGGAAAGGTTCAATCTAAGAAAACACATGTACGGATGAAAAAAAACAGATCGTTCGTAAACATGAAAGTGGTACACGGGTTGTTGAACTAGCTAGGCAGTACAATAAATCTATGCCAATGATATACACTGTAATTGCTAAGAAAAAGGACATTATGAGTGCAAAATTGGCAAAAGACGTATCAACAATCACGAAACTTTGCATGAAGACCTTTTAAAGAAAACCCCTGGAACAAGTGATGCAGACACGAAAGTCTAAAGCGAGCAGGGGAATGATGGTTTGAGAAATTTAGAAAAAGAAGTGGCATTCATAGTGTTGTGAGAGGTGCGAGTTGGTGGAGGAACACAGTGAAGAACTGACCACCGAAGAACTCCTAGCCCTTCACAAGGAGCAGCAACAAGAGGCAGCTGAGGAAATTTCTTCAGGGGAGGAGGAGGCAGTACAGAATGTCCCTTCTTCAACAATTAAGAAGTGGTGTAGACTGTGGTAAGAAATGCAAATGTTTGTTGAAACGACTCACCCAAAGCAAACCTTTTTATTGACACTGATGCCTCACTACAGGCAAGTGTTACAACGTAGGGAAAAAACAAGCCTCTATGGAAGGATTTTTAGTGAGAAAAACAAGCAGTGAGCCACAAGCAGGTCCTAGTGGTATGTAGGCAAAACATGGCAGTGAGAGTACCCCCAGAGAAGTCATCACCACCTGATGCTATAATGGAAGGGGACTCTCCTTCCAAACACTAACACCTCACCTCCCCCTCATCACTGTCTCCCATAGGCCAACAAGAGTCATCAATAAAGGTAAGCAATAACTTGTACATACTAAAGATTTGGGTGAATAAAATATAAAATTTACTTTGATGTTAAATTAATATTTTTGGGAGTGTGGAACGGATTAATTCAATTTACATTATTTCTTATGGGAAAATGTGCTTCAGTTTACGAATTTTCAGGTTACAAACCGTCTCTGGGAACGCATTAAATTCGTAAGCTGAGGTACCACTCTAGTAGAGCATCAGCACAGATATTTATCGACCATTAAGTGCTACATGAGAGGTGCTTCCCACATCCATGTGAGAAGTGGGAAGCAGCTCCCAAGCTTCTGAGAGCAAGAGACATAAAAGTAGCGGTAAGACAGAAGTCACAGAAGCTGATAAGTTTCACCCTGAATTGCATCAAAAGTCAAATAGCACAGAGTAAAAACAGATATAAATTCTGCACTTTGTGATCAACCCCAAGCACCAAATTGTATAGCTGTTGTAAACATTAGAAAGTTAGAAATTTTAGAAAGAGGCACTTCAAACCTCAAGCCATTTAGGCACTATCTTGGAAAATATGGCAATAGTTGGGTTTTAATTATGCTACATTCACTATTTTTTGCTACAATTAACCCTTACACTGCAACAGCCTGGGATGTAAATGGGGGTATAAGCTTGGGCTGGGTGAAAATATATTTGAATTATGTGAAAATTAATATTAAATGTTAAACAAATCTCCAACTTATTGGCTTCAGCGTTGTGAAAGTTTCATCCCAATATTTTCAGAAATGGATTTTAGACAATTTTTCTTAATTAAAAAGAAGAATGTTTTGTTGATAAGGAGAAGAGCTCCTATTAACTGGAACTGAGTGATAATGCAGTAATAAGGAGATGCAAGCACCTGTCCGATGCACAAAGAAGAACAATAGTAGTTAAAAGTGGCCACAAAGTGGATATGCAGTTGGTGCTTTTATAGCATTGCTGAGTAATACATAATAACACAAATAATAATGAGTAAGTATGTTATTATGCTCTATTTTG